CCACTTAGCTCCAATGTCAGTCCGTAAGAATGTTACCCCAAGCTCCTTAGGGGCTCAGGAATTAAACAATAGTTACCAAGCTCCTTGCTTGGCACTTTGCAATTAATACCTGCTTTCTTCCAGCTCCCCTATGTCAGTAATTGTCTTTCCATACATTGGAAGGGCAGACTCAAGTATGGAGGTTCTATAGAAACACCAACTTTAGGGTGGTTTTTTTATGTAAAATATATATATTTAAATTGAGGTTTGAGCTAGTAGTAGAGACAAAATGCTATGAATCTTTGAAGACAGAAGAGGACAGGAGAGGATTATTAACTGACTTTGCAGGTCAGAAGAACTTAATTTGCTTTAACAGACTAGAGTAAGCACCTATAGAAGAAGGTAGCAACAAAAAGCATGGTTCTCCTAAAGAAGTTACAAAATCATGGGCTGATTGCACATGGTCCAGAGGAAGATGAGGCCAGCCTGGAAGCCAAAGCAACAATAAGTTTTTAAAGATTTTTATTTATGTATTTGACAGGTAGAGTTATAGACAGCTTGAGAGAGACAGAAAGGTCTTCCCTCCATTAGTTCACTCCCCAAATGGCCAAACAGCTGGAGCTGAAAGTTCAATTACTTGAAGCTCAGTTACTTGAATGCCTGCTATCCAAGTAGGAAGCCATGTGGCTTCAGCTTGGCCTAGCCCCAGCTGTTAAGGACATTTGGGGAGTGAACCAGCAGGTGGAAGATAGTTCTCTCTCCCTCTCTCACTCCCTCTGTGACTCTGCCATTTCAATAGATAGTTATATCTATAAAAGCAAACACGCAACTTATTATCCTATCAGCTTACATTCAAGTCCTTAGCACAGCACATGTTAACTTGAGCTCCCAGCCAGCTTTCTAGAGCCTTATTCTTAATTGTAAATAGATAGTGATCAAATATTTGACAGAGCTTACATGAAAAGGAAGGATATTTAATGAAATGAAGTTATACTAACAGTATTGTAAGGATATGAAAAACATACACATACGCACACACACATCACACATTTAATAGCTTTAGATACGAAAATAAATTATGCAAAAAGGACACAATTAAGATATAGCAGGATAAAAAATCATTTGAATTTTAAAAATATAACTGAATATCTGTTACTTTTGTAAAACACCTATATTTGAAGATATGGGAAGCCTTTTTTTCTGTTTGATTCAATTACTTTCCATTTGGAATTATATGCTTAGATTTACATTTATATTAAAATTGCCATTTTTATTAAACTTTTTTCATTCACAGTAGATTGAAGTTGTTTCTAAAATATGACTTTTGCTTTATTTTGCTGAGGTTAAAAAGATTAATCTGGACATAAATTATGAAAAAGAAATTTTGCATTTAATATACTTTTCAACTTTGTAGATCAACAGGTAACTGGTTAACTCAAAGTATCTGTTGTACAGTATTTCAAAATTATGGAAGAGAATGTTTTTGCCTATTAGTACATTAGGGGGGCTGATGGTGGATCCCATTCCCCAGGGGAAACAAATTTCACTTTTCCAAAGCACTATAAATTGCCATAAAGGTGAAAACGTGGACTTCTATTGGACTTTTATTTTCTTCATTTTGAATTTTTTCAACTACCGTTGCTACATCAACTTGATGCAGTGTTGATAAATTACCAGTTATATTTGATGTTTATAATCTATTTGAAGATTAGGATTAAAATGGACTTTAAAATTTTAACATTGTGTTAATTTTTCTAAACAGAAACAACCATTTGCAATATGGTTTCTATGGTAAGTAAAATTATAACTTAATGTTAGCATTTTAGTTCATATTTATCTAGTGATGTAAAACTATACTAATGAATATTTGGTAAAATCCAATAGGCTTTTACCATAATTTTGTGTTGGACAATCAAATTACATCTGTAACTTGCATAATACTCATTGGTTAACAATGAAGTGACAAAAGCTGATGCAAACAAAACTAAACAGAAAAAAAAAAAGGATTTTTTATAGAAAATCAACATACTTATAGAAAGTAGAACAAAAAGGAATAGGAGAATCAGTCTTAGGAAGCCCATCTACCACAGATAAAAGGTATTTTAAGGAAATAAAAGGAGAAAAATGGCAGTAAAATTTTAAAGAAATATAAGAGTATATAATCACAATAAATTACATGTATTTCTGACCAATAAATTAAGTAGTCAACATATCAAATAAAAATCTTGTGAAACTGAAGAGTATCTGAATTAAAGTGAAAGATCCCAAAAGATCCACAGAGGTAATACAGATCATGCACGAAGAAATGAGAAAAAGCCACTTGACTTTTTTAATTAACCACCCAGGATTTGGAAATGAAATGGAATATCAAATTGAAATCTGAAGCAACGTTTCTGTCGCAAAAACTCAATATCCTAGCAACTGTAAGTCAATATTTAGTTTTTTGGAGAATGTTTTCCTAAGCACAAAAGCACACCACAAATTTCCCAAGACCAAGAGTAGAAAGATAAACAGAGGAGGAAGTCTCCAGAGATAGTGGAAATGATAGAGTATCTGGTACTGTGTTTTATCTAGGGAATAATGATTACTCTATCTGTATGGCGGAATCCTACAGACGACATTACCAGGATCACAACACAAAAATTATGGGTTTATATTTGTATAAATTCCAAGCACATAAATTAAGAATTGGACATAATGAGCTACTGATAGAGGACTGTAAGTTGTATGGAGGTGTGGGACAGCTCACTTTCCAACAACTATGGAAGTCAGTAAATCTCAAGTTTATTAATCAAAGTATCAATCATATGCATTTGTAATTATTTAGAAATTTGAAGTCAAAGCTTTGTCATAGGTTAAATAACTGAACCTGGAGGTTTCATAAAAGCCAGGACAGGGATCTAGAAAAAGTCAAAATAGATCATGTTTTGAAATACACCTCAGTACTATCTAGGTTTAAATGTGTAAATGTAGAACTCTGATAAAAGCAAAATAAACAATATAAAGTCCTGATTAATGTTTACTTTCAAACAAATACATGGATAGGTTTCTGGCTGATAGACTATTTTCTAGTCTGCTAGTGCTGTTCACAATCATCAGTACAAATGAAGTAAAGACTACATTCTTAGTTAAAACATATGGCATATTTAGTATATATAGTACACTCCACTGGAATTGCAACTCCAGGGCACTACAAGATTTTTAAGGACCTACCTAATCTGAGGAATATGAAATGCTCCCATATGATTATGTAGACACGAGACTTGGTTGTCGTTATTAAAACCATGAGCACTCTATTTTTTGTTCCTTGGGACAGAGATTACAGTCAGGGCTTGATGGTCAGTGGGGGTTAATTGTGCTTCCAGTGTCTGGAGAAATGAAATTAACTAGTCATGTACCTCAAATTCTATGCATACAAGCCTACATCTCTAAAAACTAGAAAACTCACTATTTCCTACCAAGCTGGATCATTGAGAAAAAAGCTGTACACTTTTAATTTCAATTTCCCCTTGATCTCTAATGCAAAAAATACAATTTTAACCCCTCCAGTATTTTTATTCCAGAAAGCATAATGATGGCTATATGTTCCAGTAACTGAATTCTACTTAATTATACATTGCTACAGAAAGTAATTGAAAAGATGACCTCAATTTTGTCAGTTGCCTTTAAAAGAGATTTAGCAGACTTAAGAAATATTTATGTTCGTTGCTTAAAAGGCAGACAAAGAGAAAGAGATCTCCTATCAACTTGCTCACACCCTCAAGTACCTGCAATAGCCAGACCAGGAGTCAGAAACCCAACTCAGCTCTTTCTTGTGAGTGACAATGAGCCAAGTCCACGAGCCATCACCTACTGTCTCCCAGGGAGCACATTAGCAGCAGGATAGAATTGGAAGAGGAGCAGAGACTAGAAATTAGGCATTCTGATACGGGATACCGAAGTCCCAAACACCTTGTTATGCACTAGGCCAAATGCCTACCCTAGACTTTTTAAACAGTTTCTCAACAAGACTGTTTTCATTTCATCTCCACTGTGACAAGAAACTTGCTTTTCTCTTCCATGGCATCTATGTCATGATAATTAAATCAAAATTACATTTTGGTTTTCCTTACATGGATTTTGTTTTTATAATCATAGTGATCAAGTTTGACAAATCTAGGCTGCTGAACAGATTTAGATTCCACAAAAAACCTATAACCTGATTAAGGATTGATCATTTTCAGGTCAATCCAGTTCAAAAACTAGCTTGTCTGGTCAAGATAGACTTCTCTTCCTCCAAATTTAAATATGGTAATCAAATAAGAGTCAAATTCATAGTAAAAATGGATGTTTATAGATCATCTCCATGGGAATGTGCTTGTGAGATAAACCATCTTCTTTCATGTCAGGACACTTGAACACTCTGTTACCTAACACTTCGTTCACCTGTTTTAATGTTTTATCATTATGAAATTTAAAAAAAAAATCTCTAGGAGTGGGGATGATATTTTTACAGTCAAATGAAGACTTCTTTGCTCATCAACCATCACAAATATCTTTGGAACGTTTTCTAGTTGAAAATCAATGAGTAAATTTTGTCTTGTCCTTGGTAACCCAAAAGACAACACAGAATCAAAGCTTTTTTCATAAAATGCCGTTGATTTCCTCTATTATAAGCTGAAGACCATTGTTCCTTACATAGTTAGTTTCTTACTTCTCGTATCTTCCCTCATTCCTTTGGTCCTCTAACTGATACACAATTCCTGAAACATTCCTCCTTCTCTTTCCTCTGTACCCTTTTACATATCTTTGGTTCATCTAAATTCTGCTGTCTTGCTTTCCCTCCATCAATCACATTCAACTTAATACTAGTTCTTAATCTTTAAACTAATCTTTATCTTAGTACTATTTAAAAACAAAACTTCCATTCCCTATACCTGCACATGCACACAAACATCATTTCCCAGTTAAATGACCCTTCTGTCTTCTAGAATGGCTATACTAAGTCAAACTCATAGGTGTTATTTATTTGTCCCTCGTACATGGCTGTGGATACCCTTGTGGCACACATGGTAAGCAATGTTCTTTCTCATAGCCTTACATTCTAGACTAGCTCTTTGTACATAAAGTACAGTATGGGGCCTGAAATTCCATAGGTAAAATGTAATCCACTCATGGAAGCTTTTGATTCTTGTTAAAATGCAAATAGCATTGTGAGCATAATAGTATTTTAGTATTTTTCAATTATAATTATAAGCACAAAAAAAACAGGATTGGGATGTGGACAAAGAAAGTAAATGACAGTATTTATAAGAAAAAATAGCATACACCACGGAGGAGATGCCCAAATTTTCCCTAATTTGCAGGATCTTCTCTTTCTGCAAGTTCTATCAGTTAGTGGATAAATAGAAGCAAAGGTGGATTCTACACAGATAGTGACAGATCCCTCTCATTTACCTTTATCATCATAATCCCTGTCTCCGTCGAACAAGTCATATAGAATTCCCTATGAGGGCCAAACGTCAATAGATTCATCCAAAATTGTTTGGCACAGGAAACTTAACTCATTTTTATACTATATGAATTCAGTGAGAGTTCATTTCACACTATTCCCAAGGAAAACTTCTGGATAACGACTAACCAATGGATTTACAAACTATCAAATTCCTAATGAAGATGAGGCTTTGTGTTTATAATATTCTTTTCCTTCTCAAAATTTCCATCTGAACACTTTGATAACTGATAGATTCAATATCACTGTGTTAGAGATATTTCTACCTAGATTGATCTCATAATCTTGCTCGACTAAAAAGACCCATAAGATTATCTATCCCAAATCACAGTAACTCTTTTCTATTAAATACCACTTGGATACATACACACACAGACAGTTGACCCCATCTGCATGTTCCAGTTCTACACATTCAACCTTCCACAGATTGAAAACGTTTAAGAAAGTTTCCAAAAATTTCCAAAACGAGAAACTGGAACTTACCACATGACAAGCACTTTATAATGAACCCATTAAATGAATGGATGTATAGGCACCCCCTGCTGGAGCCTCTCGCCATCTCTGATCTGCAGCCTTTTACAATTCTCCTTGAACACTGTTTTCCTCACTTCTCATTCAGGTACCATGTAATTATGCCTGTGATATTTGTCCTCTGAATGTGTACAGAGTTTCCCTTTTTGTCATTGTACCCTAAATAATACATTATAACAACTATGTGCATGCATTTACATTGCAGTGAATATTGTAACTAATCTAGAGTTAAGTATATAGGAAGACATGCATGGTTTCTATGCAAATACCCTACCATTTTATATAAGGGACTTGAACATCTGTGGACTTTAGTATCCTGGAACCGATCCCATACCAAAGGAAAATAAAAAAAATAAAAGCTTTAGAATGGAATCAGCATTATATTCTTAAAATTTTATGTATATAGTGAATCTGTTCTTTGTATTATTTCATATTAACATCATAAATATAGTAAAAAAGGAAACTTAACATTGTTATACTTAAAAATGCTGTAATTTTACCTTTTTAAGAATTAAATGATTATTTTGGGTAGTGTTTTCATATAGTTTCAATTTATTTGTGGAACAAGGGGAGGATTAATAACATTAGTCTAAGTACCTAAGCTAGGGACTCTAGGTAAAAAAAAGTTATTTTACAGAAAAAAGTTAGTTCATTGTATAGGATTTAGAGTATCACGGTAGTTAATATGACATCATGCTATGTATAGGCCAAAGCTTGGGTTTATCCTGATAGCTGGGTACACTAAACTATGTTCTTTGGAAAACAGCCATTTATCTTTTAATGTAATCAGTAAGTTAGACATTTTGGAAATGAGAATGAGGCAAGAAGCACAGAGGGCTACGTTGCCTTTGTGTGTGTGTTTACCTGATTTTACTGACACATGCAAATCTGGTTGCCTGGAAAAATTTGTGGATAGGTTATTCCAGCTGTCAGGATGAAGACCAGTCTGTTGTTACAGCCAGACTAATATAAACTCAGCACAAACTCAATACAATACAAACTCAAACTAATACCAACTCAATATAAAGATCTTTGTTATTTATGTGTTAATTTTTTTTGTGGGATTAAGCAGTTTTTTCCAAGATTTTGCAAAGGCTTCATGTGACCCTACGGAAATTTTTCAAATGCCTATACATCTCAATCATCTAAACATATTTTCAGGCAGTGAGGTAGCACGCCACAGGCTGGGAGTGCATGTGCGCCCTCGCTTCTTCCTCTTTCTCAACTCCATCTTTGTGCTAGCGGCAAGTAGGGGCCTCAGTTCAGCAGTTTTTCGTTTGCGCACAAGAGTGCCACACCCTCGAGGTGACCGGCTGGGAGAAGGTCGCCCAGATCAAGGCTCATGTAGCCTCGCTGGAGGGCATCGCCCCCGGGGACCAAGTGGTGCTCCTAGCGGGGACGCCCCTGGAGGATGAGGCCACCCTGGGCCAGTGCGTGGAGGCACTGAGCACCCTGGAAGTGGCCGGGCGCATGCTCGGAGGTAAAGTCCATGGCTCTCTGGTCCGCGCCGGCAAAATGAGAGGTCAGACTCCCAAGGTGGCCAAGCAGGGGAAGATGGGCCACGCCAAGCGGCGGATGCAGTACAACCGGCGCTTTGTCAACGTGGTGCCCACCTTTGGCAAGACGAAGGGCCCCAACGCCAACTCCTAAGTCTTCTGTCATCCCGGCTCCCTAATAAAGCCGCCAACTGGCTGTCAAAAAAAAAATAAATAAATAAAAAAGATATTTTCAATTTCTAAACTCATTACAGTCCTGCCGAGTCAAGAATTATATTACAGAGCCAGGTTTCTGTATTTCTCAATTCCCTAGAAGATTCCAAGACATCCAGGCTAACTCTGATTTTTATACCAACGGTGGGGGACAATTTATTTTGTAAGTGAATCTGATATCTTTCAATTCAAATGCTTCATAATTAGAGATCCTGACACAGGGAGAAGTCTAGGTAGTTTGTTCAGAAGCATATACTCTGTGTAATGTTGGTGTATGCTTGGTAAGAAATAGTTTTAAAGGATTGGAAATTTCAAAGTCTCAGACTGTTATGCATAATCTTAAAAAATTAGAACCTAGGATAACAATGTTCAAAGAATAGCAATCTGAAGATGCATTAAATGAATACATATATTATTTATTGGACTATTTTATTTATTTGTTATGTGTGTGTCTCAGGTATACAATATAACTTTGAATCATTGTTTATATGCATGTCTCATTCCTTACTTTGTCTTACCCTCCTCATTGATCTCAGCAGATCATCATAATCAAAAATTGTGTGCCTTTTGGTAAATCTTACTGGGATCAAGAACTTTAGAGTATCTTTCCATGTCTGATAAAGTCATTGCCCGTCCTGGACATTACCATCCCTGCGCTGGACTGGGCTTCATTACTCTGCAATTACAGAGGTAGCCTTTACATTCAGTCAGAAAAAACTATCAGCAAATGCTTCCATAAAACCTATTAACTCCACTCATTCTTTGCACCTTTGGAGTACAAGGGAATTTGGTTCCTAATTTTATTTCCAAGATGTTCAATGTGCCAGTCCATTAGCAAATTACACCTGATGAGTGGCCTCTGTGTCAGTTGAATTTTTTTACTGGCTCTCTTGGTCCTTCCAGGTTGTAACACTATTTCTTTCCTCCTGCTGCTCTGAGTTTTACACAAAGATGAGATGCTACATATCCTGCCTTATCTTTTAATTAAGCAGATTGTAACACTCTGTATATGAGGCTAATTCTTCTGGCTTTATTTTAAATTGATCATTCTGTCCCTTCTACAGAAACCATATTTTATCATGCTAATAGTTTTCCCAGGAAAAAGGAAACACAAGTGGTTCCTGTGGAATATTTGGATCTCAGGATCAGTGCCTTTTGCCAAGTCAAATAAACTTGCCTCTTTATTAGTCAGGTTAATAAAATTTGTCTACTCTCATTAGAAGTGGCCATGTTAACTAGCAGAATTCCAAATGGCAATCTGGGGAACTGAGTTCAAATGCAGCTGTAAGACTGATGGACTAGCTAAGTTACAACATCATTTGAAAGGCATGACATTTAATTATGTTAATGATTCTCTAATACCAGTAGAATGTTGCAGATTAGGGACATGTGTCAAACTGTGGAATCTCATGATCCTATTAAACAGGAAGTACAGATATGAAAGTCTCAGATAAGGAGCTTAGAAACTTGTTTTAGAACTTGAAGATAATGCTTTCATTCTGAAAACTATTGAAATTAAATATGTGATTCCATAAAATGATGTAATCTGAGGATTTGATTAAAGAGAAAAATTACCTGAATAAGGATCCTTCATTCAGCCGGATCATTCAGCTTTATTGATTATCGTCTGCTAAAGTCAGAAAATAATGCATGCTCTATGACATATAAAGAAGATCATTTCCAAAGATAAATCTAGTGGGATTCTTGCACCATGTCATAACAAATTTTAGTTTATTACTTTCCCTGAAAACATCTCCTGTGGATAAAGAACCAACACTGAATCTTCTAGAGGGAACTAGACTTGCCACTTAAGGATTCTGGAATTAGTGGAAGAAAGTTGTGTGGACAACATAATGCCATTGGTCTGTTCTAGCACAGGAACTATTTCTTCCTCATGGTTATAAAAGCCCTGACTAGAGATGTTTTGAGTAAGGCAGAAGCAGAGTTACTGCCTCCTTATTCTCTGGTGTTCTTTTTAACAATTTGTACATAGCAGAAGCTGGATGGAATTCTGTGGGATAAATTTCTTTCCCTCAGATATTCATGACCAGCTAGCAAAAAAAAATACATAAGTACATCTATACATATCTATGTAACAAAATGCAATGATGGTGCAAACATTTCTGAAAAAATCAAATCCATGCATAAACAGGTATTTAAAAAGATCCATTCCAACAATTAACATATGATGTAAGTATGCAATTGAATAATATAGAGGATTCAGACACATGGTAATGATTATAGAATGATTTAAAGAAACACGAGGTTTATTAGCAATCTAGAAATTTGAGTGGGATTTTATTTGCCAGCATTAGTCTTTGGTAGAGAAACTCCCAAGTAAAGGATGTGTGTACAAAGTTATAAAAATAAATAAAAGATTTAGCAAAATAAAAGATTGTGGCTTGTCTTTATAGTCTTCAGTGTCTGGTACAAAGTAGGTGCTTAGTAAATTTGTGTTGAAATTAATGTTTAGCAAATCTAAACCACTGTGTAAATATAATATATAAGATAAAGGAAGCCTGATTGGTTAGTTTGAAATTTTAGAACATGTGATAGTTAATTTTATGTGTCAGTTTGGTAGGCGAGTGTCACATTTATTTTTTGTGAACTTGGAGTTAAAGAAGACTGCCCTTCATAAAGCTAGTCCCTGTTTAATCACCGAAAGCATAAATAGAGCAGAGATTGACTTCAGACTGGAACTGTAACACCTTCCTTTCCTTGACTCAAGCCTGCTGGCCTTCACTGTAAAAGTTTGGACTTGGTACTCCCACAATATTAGAAGCTCATAAAAGCCTTACAGTCACTCACCCCTCTCTCATATACCGTCTCCATCCTACTGGTTTTGTTTCTTTAGAGACCCCTAACAGAGCCATGAAATCGGTCCTCATGTTTTGAGTTTTTCTAATACTTTGTAGTACAGTTACTTGGTATTTGTTTTTAAAGAACAGTGTTTATTTTAATCTATTGAAAGGCAGAGTGAGAGTAAGAAATAGAGTGATTCGCTGATTTTCTATCTGCTGGTCCTCCCAAATCCCTCAATGGACTGGTTCAGGTCAAAGACAGGGACCTGGAACTCTGACCAAGTCTCTCAAGTGTGTGGCCGAAGCCCAACTACTTGGGCCATCACCTGCTACTTCCCATCATGCATTAGCAGAAAACTGCAGTGGAAGGGAAGGGGCTGGGCCTCAAACTGGCATTCCAATATGAAACTCAAGTGTCTCAAACAGCACTCAACTCCCTGTGCAACACAATGCCTGTCCCTCTGCATATTAAGAGAATATAATGATTGCATAAGTTCTTTGAAATACAATGTTCCTTGTAATTTGGATCATAAGAAACTGAAGATTGATACTGAAACAAAGGGACAATAATGATTTAAAGTAAAAATATTCTTAGATGAGAGCTAACTGGATTTTTGTGGAAACAGATCAGAATGACTGAAACAATGGGATGACTTAAGCAAATTTGAAGAACTGAAACTCAATTTGCCAAGTAATTATAGATGGGTTTTGTAAGTGGCAAGAAGTGAAGACAAGGAGAAATTTTCTGTGGTTGAATTTCTATAGTTACAAGGCATCATTGGCTCTAACAGAAAATATGGGTTTGTATTAAGTGTTACATATAAATGCTGATCTCTGAGCATGTTTCTCAACCATGTGAGTGTACCAAGATATGGGAAAGAGTCTTGCTTTAGTTAAACACAGACTCCAGGGTAGACCCTATGAATTCAAAAACTTCAGGGTGTGTAATGGCATATAATGGGGTACAGATAATTAAGCAGGGTTTAATGTGTTGTGGGTGACCACAAGCTCAATAACTCTTACTAATCATAGACTTCAGGGGAAGTGGGCCTCTTTATAGTTAATGTAACACTAGAAGCTCCTAACAGTTTTTCCTTCAAATTCCAGTCAAATATTTTTCAGCTACCCACCTATTTAGAACATTCTGCTATGTTCCACCTTTAAGATGAAGACATTAAAAAAAACGATTACACCAGTGGGGCCAGTGCTGTGGCATAGTGAGTAAAGCTACTGCCTGCAGTGCCTTCATCCAATGGTTGCTGGTTCAATTCCTTGCTGCTTGGCTTCCAGTGCAACTCCCTGCTAACACACCTCAGAGAGCAGCAGAAGATGGCCCAAGTAATTGGGACCCTGCGCCCACATAGAAGATCCAGAAGAAACTCCTGACTTTGGCTTGGCTCAGCTCCAGCCTTTCCAGCCATTTGGGAAGTGAAATAGCATATGGAAGCTCTCTTTCAAATAAAAATAAGTTTTCTCGAACAAAAAATTAAGCCATAAATTATCCTTCAACATGTTTCTCTACAAACTCTGACATTTGAGATTTTTCAAACACCCGGTTATTGGGCCCACAAGTCATCTCAGGGTTCGTCTATAAACTCCCGAGTCCTTACCTCTCACTCCTGATGTGTCATCAGTCATATCCTCCCAAGCTAAGCTTCTCCTCAGAAACCCTTAAAATGCCTCACTTGATAGGATGGTAGTTCTTGAGATGTCATTTTCCTGCCTCATCTATGGACAGATTAAACTCTCTCCTTTATCTTCAAACCTTGTGCTCATTATTCTGATTCAGCACCATTGATAAAGGACTAAAATTTTGGTAACAAGTAGAGTCCTTGAATTCATAATGAAATATATTCATAGCTCTTTTTATAATAATCACAGGAATTTAAATTTTCTCTTTGGAATCCCAGCACATTTCCAGAGTTCCATGTAGGTAAAGAAAATCTAATATGGTGGTGGAAGTAATGTGGATGGATCCAAAGACAGCACTGTTGGTTTAAGGTGTAAGAGAAATCAAAGTATTACAAATGATATTGGCAGGGAACATGTGCTTTCTTAACTACATTTGTTAATAGATTGTGACTTTTCTATCACTTCTAATTCATAAGAACAGCATGTTAAGGTTAATAAGACACTCATCTCTTCCAAAATAGAC